CACTGAGTGTGTCCAAGCCGATGATCATGGGCGCCGTGACCATGCTCACGAGTCTCCTCGGCGGTGCCCTCATCGCGCTCTAGAGGCCGCAACTCGACTCCACCATTTGACAGCACGACCGTTACGAACATCTCACGATATGTTTTGGGTTGGGGGTTTTCACGTCTTATTTGCATGTCTGCGTAGCTTTGGCCATCCTGGTGATCTCGTGCATTTATTTATACTTCATGACGATTTGCGACGGGGGTGTGGTCACAGTGGGGATGATAAGTAAAATAACGTAAAGATGGCGCAGGTAAGCTAAGAGAAGACACTGACACTCGAGACAGTATATATATAAGAAGCCTATTCTGAAAAGTTTTGCGACCTTGTCATCCGATACGGGGGGTCGGGGTAGGGGTAGGAAGTTCGCCTGTGATCATGGCTGGCAGTGGCATCCGCATCTCGTTTGCAGGTGCAAGGGGCGCATTCATGAGAGATGGATCAGCAGGCCCGGTTGGCGGCGTCTGTAGCCTATCCCTTGTCCCATCTGCTTCCGGTGTCAACTTCGAACTGCACTCAGATTGTGCGGTCGAGGGAGCATCCTCCGGGCCAGCCGAGGTAGTAGGAACATCGGTCGCAGTCGTAGTGGCTTCCGTCGTTGCAGAATCAGAAAAGCCCTTGCTCGACATGGGGCCGGAATCGCCGTTGAGAATCTGCACTTTCACGCGCCGCCCTCCTCGCTTCTGGATTGCCTCTACAATTCCCCGGAACTCATCCTCTCCTGTTCCGGTCCCAGTGATCTGCTCCATGTCTTCGTAACACTTCGCCTGCTGTATTGCCGCGCGAACGTTCTTAAGGTCAGAACGAGATCCGTTGACGTGGTCGCCTATGAACATCGAGGAGCAGTACTTGGTCAAACTCCAGTGGTTATTCACGTATCGGGCCTGAGAAACTCGCACATCGTTGAGCATAGGGCGAAGATCAATAGATGCCAGACTCACCAGTCGGATGTAGGCTGGTATAAAGGTCTTCTCGAGATCAGTCAGCGGCGTTGGTGAGAAGCAAGTTGGGTTGGCCTCAGCGGCAGTGGCGATCATACATGAGTGTGCTCCTGAGTGGCCACGGTCGGCACCGGGCCAGATCGTCAGTGTCACAGCGGCGCGTGAAACGGAAGTCACGTACCTGTAATCTCCCGTATCCGGCGTGCGTCCCAAAAGCCCTCGCAGTCGCCATTCTCAATGACTGCCACACCCCGACCCATGCCCTCCACGAACTCCACGATCTCGCGCAGACGGTCTATGAGCGCTGGCTCCCGCTTGCGTTGATTGCGCGTCCGACAGTGTACAGTCAGCGCGTTGACACCCGTGTTGATGATGCGCTCGACGAGCTTGAGCGTGTCGTTTTGCTCGGGAAGAAGACGGATCTTCGCGGATACCGAGATCTCAGGAGGCATGGCTTGTCGGAGTGCGGTGAGGATGGAGCAGAGAAGGTCGGGGTTCGAGAGGAGGGCTGCGCCCATTCCAGCATGCGTAGAGAAAGGCTTCGGGCAGCCGCAATTGAGATCAAAGCCTGCGACGTCTTGCATGACCATTTTGGCTGCTTGGACAGCGGTCTCTGGGTCGGCGGAGCCGATCTGGTAGATGAGGTAGGGTTTCTCGATCGGATGTGTTAGGAAGATGGGTTTTGTCTTGCCAACGTATGAGACGACACCAGTGACAGCTGCATACAGGCAGAGTTGAGGCTAGAGATCCGTAGAGTAACAGAAAACGCACGGTCGACCACTCGCTCTGTATGCAAGATCGCCTTGTCCACCGTCTCAGGTCCCCATACCAGCGACGCTCCGTGCTTCAGAGAGTACAGACGCGTAGGCACTGTTGATGATGCGAGGGTTGTTAGACTAAGCACGGAATGTCAGGGTTGTACAAACGAACGCACATGCGCCTGATCTGACCATCGGGGCGAGCATGAGGCCATCCTTGTAATCATCCGGGGTCAGTGGTTCGAAATCTAGCCTTGGACGCTTGGCGAGGCGAGACGAGGAAGGATCCGGGGGTGAATGCGAACGTCGTGACATTGCTAGTGGAAGCCGAGGGAAGAGTCTGCGTCGACCGAAAAGAGCAAGCAGCATGTGAGTGTACAAGTCCAAGCCAGTCACAGTGAAGGCAGTCCAGTCAGTTTTCGGTCACTGTCAGTCAAGTCCTGCTCCCGACTGCGACGCGTCCTTGTTACATACTCCAGCCATGCATGGTCCATACCCCTTGATCCAAGATCGCTGAGAACCAACTCGCCGGATGGTTTATGAGGTGCGTATATATGATCGTCGCGAGCAAGGAGAGGTTTCCGTGCGACCAGCGCCCCGACCACATCCTATGTTCCCGGCCGCAATATACACTCCCTTGCATGCGCATATTCACATCGTTCAGCCCAACCAACTCTCACTGCTTCAGCCGGGTCTTTGAGCACTGTCCACTTCGGATAATATGATGATTAGTTTCCTGGGCGTCGTCCTTCCCACCGAGCGCCGACCGCCTGAGTCGCGGATGGTCTCGGTGGACACGAGACCGGGCTCAGCACTATCTAGAATGCTCTTCCTTGGCCCTTGCAGTGCTTGACGCACGCACCAGCGGCACCACAACAATCGACGATAGCATAAAGACGGCGATACATCCCAGTCTCCCACATCCGTACGTCTCATTGAAGCGTCACTCTACTACTACTGCTCCTTCATCCATGGTATCAGCACCCCGCTGGCTTGCCGCCCTCACGACGGCCCTCGGGCTACCCGAGAACAAGGGTCAGATAAGTACGACGACCTTCAGTTTACTTCGGGTGCTTGAGTCGCTGAAGTCCAAGCAGTGTATCAACTCGCGTCGGTGGATGCGAACGGCAACCCACACGTTCGAACCGTCGGACACCGCGGATTCGTCGAGCCCGAGGGTTCTCCTAACCTACCTCTGCTGATGAGCGCGACGGACATTCGAACCCCCAAAGTTGCGCAGTTGCTCGCGAACTCGACCGTCGAGATCGTCTGGTGGTTGTCGGGCTCCATGGAGCAATTCCGACTCTCCGGCGTCGTGCGCCTCGTCCCACCTCCCGAAGCTCAGCTCCCCAGTCCTATTACCAAGGTGTCATCATTAGCAATCGACAAACTGGACGCACAAGGTTTCGAATGGGAGAAGAAACGCGTGGAGGCGTATGATGGCCAGCCACCCTTCTTGAGGGCTGGCTTCGCTCGTCCGCCTCCGGGGAACATTATCGAGAGCTACGACATCGGGAAAAGCTGGCCTGGCGCAGTGCCCAAGTTTGCGGATGCGCAGAATGAAGAGGAGAAACACGCTTACGAAAGGGGTCTGCACAGCTTCGCGCTGATGTACATTGAACCCGTGGAGGTGGACTGGATACAACTGAAGGAGAGACCGAACCGCAGGACCAAGTTCATCAGGAAGGGCGAAGATTGGGCAGAGTATATCGCCGTTCCGTGACGTTGTGGTGTTGTCTTGACAATGGCATGTCGCCTCCGAAGCCCTTTTCCAGATGTATATTAGTGTACTTTGTATGGTATGGGCAGATGCCCGTCCAATGCAAGTGTGGTCGCAACGCCTCCTGGATAAGACCAAATACGTGTCCACAAGCCCGTCCTGACTGTGAAGTGGTAAGACACGAGGGACGTACCAGGACCCGATACAGACCTCAAAGTCGTTATGCAAGTATATGGTTGTGGCTAATGGGGGTGTGCTGCAGTGTGCGCATCTCGCTCCGTTGGCAGGAATACGACACAAATAAGATGTGAGCAGCTTGAACGCAAGCGTTGCCTAGTTCCTCTGCGATGTGCTGCGGCTGTAGCCATACACTCGCGATCGAAGACGTAGGCTCCTGAGAGCTTGGGGCCTTCAAAGCCACTAACTCTACCCATTCACCTTCTACGACGCGACATCTACAGACACATTAGAAGAACTGGGATCAGAAGATAGACGTACTGTTGAGCATTGTTGAACCATTGCGTCTGGTGCAGGTCAGGGTTTCAACATGCAACTGGAGCTAAATTGGGCACTCAGCAATGAATGTAGGGCATAACTCAACCCCTCCCGCCGCCGGCGGTCGATAGCATGGCCTTCATCTGAATGACTTCAGCAGAAGATAACGTATTCAGTAGCATTCGACGATGGCTTGGATGAATAGGTAGCGCGGGCTATCTCGCTAGGTTCGACACAAACCCCGCACGTCCTCCACGCTAGCGCCGCGTGGAGGGTCTTGCATCGAGACTAGCTATCTTGCGCCGGTTCGCGATTACGCATACGATATACACTGAGGTAGCTACGGGGGACATATGTACATCAGGGCTGTTACACGGAGACACTGTCGACACCAGTGACAAACCTTTGTGGGTCTTTGAAGGTAATAGATCTGGATTTCCTTGAGCAAATACTGACTAGGTAGGAAGGCTGGGATTGCGAAGTGGTGAGGCGACAGGGGCTCGTTGAGCTGCGTCATCGGCAAGGCAGTCGGCAATTACGCTGTGTTCACGGCGGACACGCCAGAAGCCAATGTGAACACCGCGGCGGCGCTCCACGGCGGTACTTAAACCTCCTCGTCGAGCCTCAGGAAAAAATCGAGATTGGCAGGCTGCAAGCAGAACGCACGATGTGAGAGCGGGTACCAAGGAGAAAGATCAGAGGTTACTGCCCCTTCCACTTATTCGGTAGCCATCCCGTTATATCATCCACCACATACTTCAAGTCCGTTGTGGCGATCCAGAAATCACCAGGGTTGACCGGTTGACCACTACTGGTAAGCTTCCTGCGTAGGCTAAATGTTATTGCCGTCTTGTCGCTGGAGAGATAGGCACTGTCCGTGAGTACCAGTGGTAGTGATGGCAGGGAAGTAGTCTTGTGTGGTTACGGTCTCGGGAGCAGGCGGGAAGGAAGCGAGAACAGCACTTAAGGCCCACCTGTCGAGGTACTCGCAAGGGTAGCACTTGGCTGGAATTGAGAGAAAACTGAACCAAAAGTCAAGGGGATTGAACCCTGCCCGGATTGAACGGACGACCTTCTGGATGCTCCAGTAACATTTCAGTTACATGAATAGCACTGGAATCAGATGCTCTACCGCTGAGCTAAGGGTCCCGACGAATATAGCGTTTCAAAAATTAATACTTATCTATTGGAGAAAAGGTTGGGAGAGGCACACGGACTACTTATGTCGATCGAAATTGTAACCCTGTTCCCTGTTCTCGACTTCAGCTTCGAGCACAGATGATGAAGAGATCTGGTAGACTACGCTTGTACCAGAAGGAGGGCGATAGGGTGTGTAGAAATTTAGCCATACGGGGACTCGGTGACCGGCCACATTAAATAAAGTGAGGATATTCGTTAGAGCGCCCGCGGGCTGCAACTGCCCCTTATTTATGATGCAATCCTCCTTCGCAGCAACTCCTCACACATGCAATAGATACCCCCTCTTTCTGATTACGACCGTCTTCGTAGCTGCTCCATCGTTTCTCTATCTATCCCTTAGTGCTGTCGAACATGCCTCGCGAAAACAGCTTCACGGACTCGGAGGGCCGCTCGCTCACGCCAGACCTCGAGGAGGCCATGATGCGCGAAGCTGAATTACGACGGTCAGACTCCCCAGCGCCGATGGTAACTGACGAGGATGGGGAGAAACGACAGCTGGACCCGGAGGTCGTCTCGGCACCCGACCTGTTTAGCTCCCAGCAGCCGGCGTCCACCACGAGGTCACCAGCGGAGCCCGACTTCAACCATGTCTTGCCCCGCGCGTATACCACCCCAGGTGACCGTTTCCGCTCGACGGTACGCAAGGTCATGGCCATGAACCGCACCGCGTCCTCGATTTTGGTACGGCCTGGTATCGGCGCTGAACCAGGTGTCGATCCCCGCCGCGCCTCCGCCAACCTCGCATACAACGGCATCAAGCAAAAGTGCGTGATTGAGGTGGTGGACTACTCGACGATGCGAACTAGCTTTGGGCGTATGACGAACAACGAATTCATCAAGATGCTGAGGAGCCCTTCTGCGAGCAGGAGGGATCCCTGGGTGCGCGTCCGGTGGATCAATGTATGTGGCATCAGCTGGGACGTGATCAGCGCGCTGGCGCTGAAGTACGGTGCGTGGATGTACGTGCGCTTCCGGTGCATGAATTCACGCGTACGCTGGCCAGACATGCACCCCCTTGCTATCGAAGACATCCTTAGCCAGCGGCAGCACTCTCGCTCGAAAGCCGACTACTACCCGCAACATCTCTTCCTTCGCGTCCTCTGCCACTCCCTCACCTCTGATGAGCTTGGCACGCCCGAGTCATCCGTTACCAACCTCCCGCGATCGGACTCGCCCGATCTCATTGGCATTGATGACTCTGAGGACGAAGAAGAGGGCGTACCACCGGATGATGATCGCACTGTGTACGGGAGCGCGAGGGCGTCAAGGTTCTCGACAAAGCGCGGGTCGCTAAAGAACGATACGGCGAAGTTGAAGGAAGCGAAGGACGTGGAGCAATTGGCGATACAGGAACAGCAGCTACGACGGCTCCAGGCTCCTGTTACTGATAATAAGGTCCGTTGCACCTTCGTTTGAGGAAAAATATGCTTACCTGCCAATGAAGAGACAGGTGGCCCGTCATATGAAGCTCATCCGCGAACTAAAGAGAGGCGACCGAGTTGCGGTGAAGGTCTATCCCATATGCATCTTCCTTTTCCGCGATGGTAAACCAGCGGTACTTGCATCTGATTCTAGCTCATTCAACTCTGCATTCAGGTACCGTGATTTCTATAAGTCGAGGTATGCCGTACATTGCACGGCAGGATGCGTGATACCGAGCGGACATCTCTTAGATCCAGACGTAGCCTTTACGGAGCCAATCAAAAACCGTCTTCGTCAACGGCATACTGGCCTACGGACGACAGCAGACCCTTCATTACTGGTCCAGAGTCTCCTTGATCTCAGTACGTTTGTGATATATCGGTCCGTGAGAAGGTGGTTCTGACCGCCCGGCAGTCGTGGATTCCGCTTTGGAAGTGGTGGAAGAATACCAAGCCAAGATCCTGAGGATAGAGCAGGAAGTCCTTATCAAACCGAGTATGGAGACTGTTCGACGGCGTGCGTCCACACCGCTGTCTCATAGTAGCAATGCTGGTCTTACTGTTCCGTGGGCCCAGTGCACATCCTTCAGGGTGACCTGATCCTTCATAAGCGTACACTTGAGCCAATCAAGACGGTCATCTATGGCCTCCGACGGTACGACGATGATCGCGCGGCGGCGATGACCGAAAGGGTCGACCCCAGCATGAAGATTCAAGGGTATATGAGCCATAAGTCCAAGATCTACTTAGTACGTGCTTTACTATCCTCGCGTTGATCCCGTACAGTACCCTGCAAGTCCCCGTTGGTGCCAAGACTTCCGGCCAGGTCATTCCACCTGCCGTTGATGCATTTCGGGTAGACCTGGCCGGACAGGCTTCGTGGGGGGATTCGCGGGACGTGTGGGGTTGCCGTTGAGAGCAGCCCTGCCGAACGATACTGACTAAACATCGTTTCGGCCTAGGCTGATGTCCATGATCATATGGAGTATATCCTTTCTAGCCTGGAGATGTTTGCTGGAGTCAGTGAGAACTTAATCAACTACACGTTCAACGTACGTGGCCATTTTGCTGTGTCTTGCGGGACCCTGCGGCGGTGCCGCCATTCCCACTTGCTCGCTCCTCGCAACGCAACTGCCGCGACGAGCGGGCTGCCTCCCACTCATCGACCTCACAATTCCGCTTCTTCATATTAGGGGGTTCCTACTGTTTCGGGCATGGATTCTAGATCCGGGGACGATTACTAATTATCTTGTCCCTCAGATGGCTTCATACCAAATGAACGAAGTAATGTGTGCATCACGACGTTACCGTCAATGACCATAAAAGTGACCCCATCTGGTTTATAAACTAGGCGTCGGCTCACCCTCGCCACGATCATCTTTTTGCCGTTGACCCTCTTGACTGGATACTTCGTACGTGCGGGTCCAGTCACCCGGCAACCTATGCCTTACATGAGCTCTTTTGTTCCCGCGCCGCAGGGTATGAACTTCGAAAACATGTGGTCGGTCAATCACAATCACAGTGACATTATGTACGTCCTCATCCCTTTCTCCGCTGTACCTTGGCCCGGCATTGCTTGCGGATTTGGTCCGGACACTGCTGCTATTATCTTGCGTGACCGAACGCCAACTGCTGCGTCTTGCTTGTTGACAGATTCTGGATCATCGCATTACCCGTGATGGCGATTGTTATCCCCCTCTTCGCCTACCCGGACCTTCGCAACATGGCCCGGTATCTTCAGAAACAGCTCGTTAAACAGAAGATCACACGGGTGAGTGCTTCTGAGAAGCTGAGCCAACTGAAAACTGAGCCCCGACCACGCGTTTTCCTACAGTCCTACGGCCGCCGTATGCGCCGGTGACTATTCGGTCATGCATAGATGTACGCATACGGGGGGAGGCGGAGGGACGGGGAGGCGGCAGGATCTGCTTTGGACATCACCTTCATTTGCCTCCTGCTCGAGGATCGTGTTGTACTGTGCAAGGTTTTGGGACACTGCTCAGGGTATTCCTACACTCTTTTTACTTGTCGCTCACATACAGTCATTCATAATGTGTATAACGGTAAGGTGTAGCCTGTGCTGCGTGCTACTAATACAGGATGTCAGATGGTCCGCAAGTTCTCAAGCGTCGGCTCGTTTCCGCGCGTCAACTATCGCAACTTGGACCAACATTGCTAAATCCTCGCGTCGTCACCCCATTCCCGGACAGTGCATATCATTACCTAGACGTAACGAGATAGATGGATGAACAATGGACACCAGAAGGCATATCCTTTGGCAAAGCCTTACAAAAGGGACTGTTCCAGCGGCGTGAAAATTAAGGTCCCTTTAGGGGGTTGGGTCACGGTATTCAGAGGGTCCGTAACTTCGAACCGGCCTTCAAGAAGACTCGGTGTGGCACGTCCTATCAGGCACAACACTATAAGCTTGATCTCTGTACCAGCAGGCTTCGTCAGGGCGGAAGCAATGGCCCGAGGAACACAGTCAACTGACCATTAATAGCGAGCACCCTGCCAGGGCACGCGAAGCGGCCTAGTCCGAAGACGATGTGTGCCGCGCCTGTCATTGCTGCATCCTTGTTCTGCTCGGCCCACTGGAAGCCATTGAAATCCGTTGCTTCATCTCCAAAGATCTCTGGATTCTCGTGAACCATGCACGACATCGGTGTCACGAAGGACCCTGTCGCAGGGGCAATGTAAGTCATCTCCGTGTCTGTACATCGCACCAACTCCAGGAGGCTCAGTGTTAGTCTAAGACGCGCACCCTTTGGAATAACATATTCGCCCAACGCCGCGTCGCACGTGGTATATCGCATCGTGGAAATGGTATCGCCCTTGAGCCGCATCACCTCGCGGATGAACGAATCGAGTAGGTGCGCTTCACGTAAGGATGCAGCGGTCAGGCGCATAGCACCCGACTCGTCTTCCTCTCGTATACGGAGCAACTCTTCGCGCAACGGTCCCAAGTATTCCGGATGCACGGCGAGTTGAAAGAGGACCCATTGCGAGACGACAGTTCTGTGGGGGCCTCGAGTCTGGGGTTATACTTGAGGACAACGCGAAACACTTACGTGGTGTGTACGGCAGCGAAAATTAGGCTTTCGGTAGATGTATAAGCTAAGCCTTGTACACACAACACCTTATGGTGTGGCTCACCAAAGTAGCAAAACGCCGATATAGACTCGGCGAAAAAGACCAATCCGCCTGTTGCCAGATGCGTATGCCTTGACGATGAAATACAGGACGTTCTTGGGCTATTGACAGCACATACCGTTAGTCGTTGACTGGCAGTTAAGCGGTGGCAAAAATACCTCTTCCCGCGGGGGAATGCCGGATGCAACGATGTCTTCATACCTGCTCACGTCGGCCCAGAGTTGCGGCCCTAATAAACGCAGGAAGCCAAAGGGTATCTTAATCAGGATCACGTTGACCCTGCATGCTGTGTAAGAGCGATCGACAGTGGGCCGATGGACAGAGTTTGCATACCAAGTGAGAAACATCCACAACCACGGCAGGTATTTTCCCAGG